TTTTTTTTTGGTTTTTCTCCGGTACCGGGAACCGAACTCACGACCTTGCGCTTGCCAGGCAGGCGCTTTTGCCGCTGAGCTAAATCCCCAGCCCCCAAACAGGTACATTTCTAACCAGCACTGGGTTATTAGAAATAATCCTAAAACCATCCTCTGTACATTAAGATGCTAAAGTACCATTTAAAGTAAACATAAGTATTTCTTATTATTCCCATCTAGCTAATTTCTAAAATCTAGCTAGATACAGGAAATCTGTATATTTTTAAATCTTAAATGGGAAAAATATTAATCATACCCCCAAGTTCCTGAACAGTTTGTCCAATTATAATTAAATCAAAATACTGTGGGAAAATATCAACATAGAGGCTATGCTGAAATGTATAAGCAAGCTTCGTTCGTACTGCAGCACAATAGAGAGCCCTGTTCTAAGACACTTGTCAGTACATGGTGCTCAGGGCTTTTTAAAGCACAGAAACAAAGGTGGCATTTTGCCAGTTGGTACATCTGTCATTGGAATCCATAATTTGATGATCTAATAAGGATTCTGTATAATAAAACATTTTAAACAGCAATTCTTACTATCAGTCCACTATATTAAGGTATATGTTTATATTTTAAAAAAATCATTATTCATTTTCCATTTACACCTTGGCTCTTTTCAGATTCAAGAAATTTTTCTCTTTTTCTCCCATGTAACAACCATGATGATAGAGGTGATTGCACATCCAGGCTTATGTTTATCACTTTCAACTTCTAATGCACAGTTTTCTCTAGGCCCCCCTTGGCTCGTGTTTTTTCATAATCCTCTTACTTGGAAAATAAATCCAGTTAATGTTGGGAAGATGATAGTGATACTATATAACACTTTTAAAAATTTTTGAGGACAGTTTGTGATCCTATCAGAGAAAAACTGAGGTAGGAAAGCAGGTGTAGTCTGCATTCTCTGAGTTTAAACATTTTTACTGTTTTCCATACAGAGATACATCTAAAAAGTTTATTGGTTCTGGCAGTGAACTTTAAGTGAGTAAAAATTTCAGAAGTTTTACAGTAGATATTAGGCAAGAATTCAGATAGTGAGGGATCCCTATCTAGCTAACAGTGTTAACATTTATTGGTTTAAAAGAACTTTTGTTGTTCATTAAATATAAATTTGAACTATAAAATATTAAGCATGTAAGCCGGGCGTGGTAGCGCACGCCTGTAATCCCAGCACTCGGGAGGCTGAGGCAGGAGGATCTTTGTGAGTTCGAGACCAGCCTGGGCTACAAAGTGAGCTCAAGGCCAGACTGAACTGCACAGTGAAACCCTGTCTCATAAAGACAAAAAAAAACAAAACAAAAAATATTAAGCATGTAAAACAAAGATTAATAAAAGAATATAAAATCAAATATGCCAATAGAGACCATGGAATAGTTAAACAATGATGAACTAGATACTGACATAGCAAGATGAAGAAAGTTCCAGAAATATAATAAGAAAATTTTAGGCTTCTGGTTGTTACCCACATGACTATAAACAACCAGTAACAAATTCTTCATTTGCGGATGAAATAATTGATGTACATTGCTAAGGTGTTTTCTAAATTCAGAGTTCTGGGGTTCTGTGAGGAATGTTAAAAAGGAAGATCATTGTTTATTGGCATTATTAGATATATGATTTTAAAGTAGACCTTGAGGGGCTGGGGATTTAGTTCAGCGGCACAGCGCCTGCCTGGCAAGCACAAGGTCATGAGTTCGATTCCCGCTATCAGGAAGAAAAACAAAACAAAACATAAAGTAGACCTTGAACTGTTAGCAACATTTCTAAACATTCAACCTCTTTTATCTCATTCAGGAGGGTGACTTGGGGAACTTCCCATGCCCACTCCAAATCTATCTTTGCTGTGTAAATGTTGAAAGAGTGAGCTTGGAGTTAGATCTTTAACTTTGAGCTATATAAATCCTTGAATGTGCAAAAAGAGCCTTAAAATCTGGAGTAGTAGAGCCAAGCCTAGTGGCACATTCCTGTAATCCCAGTACCCTGGGCCTGAGAGAGGAAGGATTGGTAATTCAGGGCCAGCCTAGGCTATATAGGTAGACCCTGTCAAATCAAAACCAAACAGAAGTAGAAAACAAGTTTTAAATCAGGTTATGGCACGAATCTTACATATTTGGAGAGTATTCATTTGAAGGTCTGTTTCATACTTTGTATAAAATTAAGTCACTTGGGAAGAATCTGAAAGAGCAAAATAGAGACATTTAAGAAATGCATGGTCTCAAAATGTACTACACAGGCTCTGTATGAGATAATCACTAAAGGATATTTTTTGAGAAGAGAAAAAAGTACAAAAGAAAGAAATGGAACTGAGGAAGCGATGATGAGCAGAGAAACAGATTATATTTTTTACTAAGGTGATACCAGCATGGGAGGGAATGAAGTGACATGACTTCAAGGGGAAGACAGAGCCTGTTAGACCCCATGAGAAAGGAGATGCTGCTGGGCATTGTGCAGCACATACCAGTAATCCTCTGCACTGTGGGAGGCTGAGGCAGGCGGATTGCAAGTTCAAGCCCAACCTGGGTAATTGAGCAATTTAGTGACATTGTGTCTTAAATTTTATTATGTATGTATGTACGTATGTCTTTTTTGAGACAGGGTCTCACTATGCAGTTCAGGTTGGCCTTGAGCTCACTTTGTAGCCCAGGCTGATCTTGAACTTGCAAGGATCCTTCTGCCTCAGCCTGCCAAGTGCTGACATTATAGGCATGTGCTACCATATCTGGCTCAAATTTTTAAAAAATTTTAAAAAGGGCTGGGAATGTAGCTCAGTGCAAAAGCCTTGGGTTCAGTCCTCAGAGGAAAAAAAGGATGACTGTCCTGAAATCAGCTATTAGCAGTTCTAACCCAGCAGCTAGCAGCTATTTCCAAACCCGTAAGAAAAGCTAAAATCAACAGGCCTTACTCTCAAGATAAAGAGCGTAACATTTAAAACTATTACAAGAGCAAATTCAGTGATTTTAGAGGGAATCCACGAAGACACATTTCTTCATTGAAAAGACTAATCTTGGCTTGCGAGGAATTTTACATTCTCCTGATACAAGTAGAGTCTGCCAAGAATGACTTGACAGTGACAGCACAACAGTGCAGGAGAAGCTATGAAGGTCCAGAGGGCTGCTCTTAGCCAGCCATTTAAAAATCTTGCAAAACTTAAATTTTGCCACTCATTAATGTTTTTTGTTTGTTTCTTTTTTGGGGAGTGGGTACTGGAAATCAAACTCAAGGCCTCACACTTAAGAGGCAGGACCTATGTCACTGAGCTACATCCCGGCTCAATGTTTTTGTTTCTTATAGAATTTATATATGAACATATACTTGGTTTATTGTAGACGAATGAATAAAAATCTTTGAAGTGTTTTACTTTTAATTTCTAATATGGTAAATAGTGATACACATATGTAACCTACATAATCATTCTTTGAGGTCCTCAACCTGTAGAAGTATAAAGGAATCTTGAGGCCAGAAAGTTTAAGAAAGTTTGGAAGAATGAAACTGTGAATTGTGATTGTAGTATTTAAAGTACTTCAAAACTTTAGGGAATATTTAGGGAAAATTTTTTTCAGTTTAATAAATCTTCCAAAACAGGAAAAAACAAGAAGAAAAATAAAGTAACAAAAAAAAGTTTTTCTAATACAGAACACACACACACACACACACACACACACACACACACACACAAAAATAGAGGGAACCAAATAAGTGAATGGTTTAAGCACATCAGAAAACACTATTAGTATATTAAAAATGAAAGCAGGAATATTATTTATCTTTAAAAATGAAGGAAATTCTGATATATGCTACAGTGTTAATGTACCCCAAGGAAATTATTCTAAGTGAAATAAGCTAGTCTCAAAAAAAAAAAAAAAAAAAGACAAATACTCTATGATTCCACTTATGTAAGGTACTTAGGAAATTCCTGTTACTGAAAGAGTAGAATTCTGATTTCCAGGGCTTGGGGAAAGAGGAGATGGGGATTCTCCCCTTTCAGTAGGTAGAGAGTTTCAGCTTTCCAGGGTGAAGCGTTTCGGAGACGGATGGTGGTGAAGGTTGCACAATGTTGTGAAGGTATGTAGTGGCACTGAACTGTGCACTTAAAGTTAAGAGGTAAATTTCGTCTTGTATTTACCACAGTAAAGAGAAATCAAAAACAAAATACTACATCTTTTTGATAAGGCTTCTGTTGTGCTAACCATAGGTGTTCAGATACCAAAAGAATTGGGAAAGAGCAATATTGAGAGCCCTTCCCAGTCCTCCTTAAGGCCTGGGAAGTTTACATTTGTAATCCCATGAAAAAGTTACTGGAATTCTAACGAGTTAATTCCAGTGTACCACTTCCTGTGTAACCCATGGCGAAAATAAAGACACTAAGGTATATTTGCAGTTACGGGGAGCCAAGGGAGTCCTAAGTCCAGCCACGATGGTGGCTGTCAGGAACAAAGGCCTCGACCCAAGACCAAACCTGAGTGTTATTCATTCATGAAGAAAGGAGTGGCTTGAGGATGAGTGACTCTGAGAATGACAGGAAACAGGTGAGTGCTGTGAGCAGGGGTTAGGTAGGAGGCCTGAAATCACCTCTGCAAATGCAGAGAGAAGAGTATGCAGAAAGTAATGTGCATAACACAAATGAGATAGTATCTAATGTTTTGGGATGGTGCTTCAGCTCTGATGTGTAGTCTTCCAAGCCCTAGGAAGTCATAACCTTTTATCCCAAGGATCCATTAGCTCTTCATCCACGTTCACGCTAGGGACCAGTGGGTGGGGGTTCCAGGGAAACAAGCCTGCCTTCTTTAAAGACTACCATCAGCACATGGCCAGATTGATATGCATTGCTTAAAACCAATTCAAGGAACAGGGAAAAAATCCTAGCCAGCTCTGTACAAATCATTACATGGAAATAGGGTCAGGCTCAGCCAAAATGGAGACAATTGCTCTCTTTTGAGGAGAGTCAACCATGTGGTCCTCAACAGAGCAAAACCAAAATCCAACCTAAAAAAGACATTTAAAATAGTATAGCAAAAATGAAAGTAAAGGCTTAAAGAAGTACTAGGTGTATCTCCATCTAAAAGGAGAAAATAGAAGTATCCATCCTATTGGTATACAAAATAGAATTTAAGATATGAAGAGTCCTAAAAGAGATACAACAAGGATGTTTTGTTAGTAAATGGACCAGATACACAAAAAACATGTAACAATCATTGATTTTGAAATTATGATAAAAGCAAACAGAGCTAGAAGTAAAATTAATGAAGGCTTAACCACCAAGGAAGATTGATAATCAGATTAAAAAGCATAAAAACTCGTAACTGTCAGGCCAGGGATATAGCTCAGCAGCACAGCGCCTGCCTTGCAAGTGTGAGGTCATGAGTTCGATTCCCGGTAGCAACAAAAAACTATTAACTCTCTACTTGTGGGCTGTACTTGTCCCACAAGTATTCCTTTTATTTGTCAAAATGTTTTTTTTCCTCTTTCCGCTCTTCCCCTCCTCCTCTTCCTTCTCCTTTGTGGCACTAGGGGTTAAATCCAGGGCCTTACGCATTCTAGGCAAGCATTTTACCACTGAGCTACATCCCAAGCTGGCTTAGTCACTTTCCAATGACTAGACACAATATTCAACACCCACAATTTAAAGGAGAGGTTTATTTTAGCTCATGGTTTTTAGAGGATTCAGTCTGTAGTCAGCTGGCTCCAAGGCAGGAAGGGCATAGTGAAAGGGTCTGACAGGAAAACTGCTCACATCATGGTGGTCAGGGAAGAGCTGGGAGGGGAGATCTACGCCTCCATGTCACACCTCTGGTGACCTCTGAACACATGAGGCTTGTGGGAGACATTCTAGATCTAAACCATAACACCAGCCCTTGTCACAATGTTTATTAAAAAAGTGATAAAATAGTTACTCTTCCTGTATAACAAATGATACCATCACTTAAAAGATTCAGAAGTTGGGTGACTCAAATGACTTGGGACTGAATCACCTGAATACTTACTTACATGTCAGGTGTGTGGGATTAGGACAGGTGGAAGATGAGGACTACTGAGCAGAAGGCCCACACATGGCTTGCCTCTCTGTGTGGCCTGGCCTCCTCACGTATGGCCTGGCTTCCTCCATATGGCAGCTTTGGAGTTGGACTGTCTTCCCTAGTAGCTCAAGGTTCCAAGCAGAAGTATTCCAGGAAACAGTTGCCCTTTATGACCTAGCCTTTGAGGTCATGTAGCATTATTTCTTACACACTGGGGTGAAATGCTCATAAATGCTCTGAGGTTTAAAGGGGAGGGACATGGATCCTACCTCGTAATGGGAGCAATGTCAGTTAATTTATAGACATCTTAATCTCTCTTCAGTCCTCTTTCTGGCCTTACTTTTACTCATGTTCCTCCCATATGCGAAACTGTATTCCCCCTTTTCCAAAGATGCCATCAACCTTGAGAGCCAGGACTAAGTCAGGTCTAGCTGAGATTCCTCAGGTGTGGTTTTTCAGGTACAGTTCATGGAGTGTTTTGAGAATCTTCTGCTGGGAGAGATGAGAATTGAATAATAGTTTCAATTCTCAACCTCATAAGTCCTGGCTCTTTTGTATTCCTTACAAATTTTGCTTGAAAACTGATCATTATTTTAAACCTCATCTCACTATCCTATCATCTTTTTTTGTTTTGTTTTTTTTTCTGGTACTGGGGATTGAACTCACGACCTTGCCCTTGCCAGTCAGGCTCTGTGTTGCTGAGCTGAATCTCCAGCCCCCCTATCTTCTTATTGATAAAGTTGATATTTGCAGGCTGGGCATGGTGGCACACACCTATAATCCCAGCACTTGGGAGGCTGAGGCAGGAGGATTGCTGTGAGTTCGAGGCCGGCCTGGGCTACATAGTTCAAAGCTAGCCTGAACTACACAACGAGACCCTGCCTTTAAAAACATGGTACTTTCAACAGTTCTGTTGGCAGTGTGTGGATTTAATCAGTGCAGCAGGAATTTTTCCCATTTTCCTTGTCATCCCTGTCAACAGTGTTGCTGAGCAGTGTGCCGCTTCATCCTCTCAGACTGCTTCAACAGTCTTTTTTCTGCAGGTCCTTCAGCAGTGTTTACTGCTAGGTCTTCGACTTAGTGCTGTGTGTTGTAGGTGTTTTCAGAAGCACTCTACTTTCTGGCACCAAATGTTTTAGTTACTATTGCTCTGTGATCACCACAAAACTTGTGTAAAGCAACAATCTTGGATGACTGAAAGACTGGAATCAAAGTGCCTGTATGTGGGCTCTTTGTGTGACTTGGCATCTTCGAGTGTGGCAGCCTCATGGTAATGAAGCCTGAATGGTGGCTCAGGGCTCCAAGCAGCAGTTTTCCAGCAAACAAGTTGGGGAGGGGTTGCGTCTCCTATTATTACATAGCCATGAAAGTCACGTATCATGTTGGCTGTACCCTGCAGTTACAAGTCTGCCTACCCAAATTCAAAAGAAGGAAACGGGAAGAATGTCACAGAATTTCTCATCTAGCAAGTTAATAAAGAAGGCAAAGAAATTTGGTACATTTAGTTATTCCTTTGAATTATGACCTTTGATACAAGTGTTGGATTTTTTTTAATCTTTAAAAATATCAATTTACAAAGGGGTTTTTTATTCTCCATGCAACTTTTATGCCCAAAGAACCCAGTAAGCATAAAACTCTAAGCTTGTCTGTTTTTTCCTACACCATTATAATTTGAGTCATTAGCATTATTTCATACATACTTTTTCATGAATTAATATAGTTTATATTTTTAAGGGTTAAAACTTGTTACCGTAAGAGTTACTCTGTTTAGCTGTTTTCACTTTTTGTTGTTGTTCCATAGCTTTCCTACAGTTAGATAAAAAGGAGCCACAAAAACATCACTTTGATCAGCCTTCAGTAGTACCTAGGAAGAACTACTCTTTCACAAGAGAAGAGGTGAGACAGATTGATCGGGAAAATCAGAGGCTTTTGAAAGAACTGTCAAGACAGGCTGAAAAACCAGGAAACAAAAGTGCAGTTCCCAGAAGATCAAGTGGTCATCCCCCTAAGTTATATCACAGTGCTCTCAACAGACAGAGGGAACAACAAAGAATTGAAAGAGAAAATTTGGTAAGTAATCGTCTGTCAAAGAAAATGCGTTTGTACTGGTTCATAAATACAATTTACAGGGAATGTAAATACAGCTGAATTTTCAAACTGAATTACATAAAAGCAGACATTAGAGATATATTGAGGAAATGCATAATGAGCAGTGTGTCTAGAAGATACAATATGTGTCATTTATCTGGCAAACTATATTGAAGGACTTTGAAAATACTGAAAGCCCTATTATTTATTTGACTAGCTCTGTTAAATTGCTACATTAGTATAGGAATGGTATCCAAGAATCAGATGCAGTGTATCTTCTGTGAAATACTGTCACTAGCTAAATCTTTGTCACTTCATTGTATCATGGAAAGCTAAAACAAATTACATTACATATCATTTATTTTAAAGGATAAACACATCTTGAAAAGGTCACATTTAGTAATCTACTTGAATGCATGAAACATTTATAAATATAATTATACTTGGATACTCTAAATATATGGACTGTTTAAAAGTCTTCAGTTTTAATACTATTATGATAGCATATCCTTTTCTTCATAAAATGTGGTTCTTAATTGCTGATACTTGCTGAGCTCTCACTGAACACTAGGCATTTTTCTAAGTATCTTCTAAATAGCTTATCGAGTCCCAACAGTTGTTTGAGTTGTGTACTGTTTTTAATCCGCATCTCATGGATGAACGAATACAGACCCAGTTGCTCAAGGGCACAGAGCTAGTAATTAAGTGGTTGAGCCAACATCCTAAACCTGGGAAGTCTCCTAAATTAAATATCTTAGACTAAAATTAACAAACACGTAAATTCATAGCCAAAATACTTTTGAAGGCTGTTAAAATTACTAAGACTGTTTCCAAAATTAATCCTTATTGTGTTATCACAGTATGTGTGTATTTAACTTAAGAACTGCTTTTTATGTTTATTACCATCACTCAGCCCTCAAAACTAGTTTTAACCCCTTAAAATGTTACCCTGCATGTGTGAAAGAATAAATAGCTATAGAGCAAGTTGAAATGAGGTTGGAAGGAGATGAGCTACATAATAGCCATCTGCACACCATGTTAACAATATTCAAGATTCATGTTTTATAAAAATATGAAGTTACTGTATGTCACAAACATTTAAATTTACTTTATATTCATTCTCACTTAACTGCAGCCTGTTGTATTTAATAGCAATTACCTAATGCCTATCTAATAAATATGAAATCATTTAATTCTCATTAAAATTAGGAACCTTATGACATATGGCTTTATGGGAAAAATGAGACACTGAGTGAACACAGGGAATTGCTAAAGGCCAAAGAGCCTGGAGGTATGAGGTCCAAATTCAAGTGCAGGTTATCTGTCTTGTGTAACTTTTTAAAAACAATATTATTGAGCTATAATTAAAATATCATGCCCATTTGAAGTGTACAGTTCATGGTTTTGGAACTTTTTAAATTGTAAAATATATTTTTAAAATTACCATTTTAACTTTTTAAATGTACAGTTCAGTAGCATTGAGTCCAAAAACAATGTTTATAACTGCCGCCAATATCATTTCTAGGACTTTCTCATTGCTCCTTACAAAAGCTCTGTGCTTCTAATCTCTGTGAATTTGGCTTTTTGGGGAGTGGGTACTAGGGATTGTACCCAGACAGGCCTTTGCACTGAATTACATCTTCAGTCCCTTTAATTTTTTATTTTGGGACAAAGTCTCTCTGAGTTGCGCAGGAAGGACTCCAATGTGTGATCTTTTTGTCTTAGTCCCTCTCGGTGCTGGAATTACAGATATTAGCCCCCATACCCAGCTTTGAATTTGGCTATTTTAAATATCAGTAGGATCTTACAATATTTTTCCTTTATTGTCTGGTTTACTTGATTTAGCGTAATACTTTCAAGATTTATCCATACCGTGTTCAATTAAAAGGAACTTTACTGCTTTTAATGGCTGAATAACATTCCTTTGTGGATAAATACCACATCTGTTAATGGACACTGGTTGTTCTACCACTTGGCTATAGTGAATAATGCTACAATGAATATGAACACAAAGTATCTATTCACATCCCTGCTTTCAATTTCTTTGGGTATATGCATACGAATGAAATTGTTGGGTCATATGATAGTAATCTGATATTTAGCTTTTTAAGAAGCGTAGACTTGCTTTTGAAAAGCAAAAGTGTTACTATCTGGTGGCTTTTCTGAATATGGTATAGGGTAAAAACTGTCAGCAGCTTCTGCTTACTGGAAAATTATCAACATTTGTTCTCATCAACTCTGCATGTTTTGTAATTTATGAGAACAATTTTTTGTTTTTGTTTTTGTTTTTGTTTTGGTGGTGGTGATACAGGAGATTGAACCCAGAGCTTTCAAACACTGAACTACATCAGCAACCTTTCTTTCTTTATTTTTTTAATTTTGAGACACAGTCTTGCTAAGTTGCCAGGGCTGCATTAGGACCTGTGATTCCCCTGCCTTAGCCTCCCAGAGTGCTGGGATTACACGAGTGTTCCACCATGCCTGGTTTACAGATGAACAGTATTTTTCTCCATTTGATAGTAAGATCTTGTTTGTTATACTATAGACAGTAGAAACATGATGTGAGTCACTATAATTTAAAATTTTCTAGTAATAACACCTAAAGTCAAATGGTAAATTTTTAAATGTATTTAATCGAATATATCCAAAATACTACCATTTCAGTGTGTAATCATGATTAACATAAATGGCTAGGGATGAAATATTTTACTTTTCTTTGGTGCAGAGTCTTTGACACTTGTGCATTTTGTACTTAAAACATATCTGAGTTTGAAATTAGATTTCAGTTACTTTGTAGCCACACATGGCTGTGATCTTTGGATTGTGCAACTCTGGAAACAAAACTAATACAGAAGTGAAAAAAGTAACTTAAACCTAAGTAGGAAAACAAACAACTTCTTATAAAACTACATTTATTATGTTACTGTGAAGAACACTAAATCTTCCAGATTGTTTATCTCTTCAGTCTTTAAACCAAAATAAAACTAAATTGGTACTATCTTAGAACCTTTCATGGCTTTTTTTTTTGCATTTATTCCTCCGAATGCATAGTTTTTCTTCTTGAAAACGTTCATTGTGCCAGGCATAGTGACATACACCTGTAATCCCAACTGCTTAAGAGATTGAGGCAGGAAGATACTAAATTTGAGGCTAGCCCAGACAATTTAGGAAGACCCTGCCTCAAAATTAAAAATAAAAGGGCTGGGGATATAGCTCAGTGGTAGAGCATTTGCGTAGTCTATGTGAGGTCCTTGGTTCAATCCCCAATACCATTTTTTTAAAAAAAGCAAATTTTAACTGAAATTATGTTAAAGGAAAACATGCCATACTTTTAAAATAATATCCTTTTGTCCAAAACAAGCTCTTTCCATTTGAGCACTCTTATAACCTATCTTAGTAAGGTTTTGTAGTTTTCTTAAAAACTATATTTTTTGTTCCATTTTTGTTTAAACTATTTAATTTTATTTATTTATAGCCAGCCACCTACCAAAGTTACAGAGCTACATTGGCTTGAATAGTTTTCCAGTGTGAGCCACATACTTTTACATCTATTCCTAGGCTGTTTATATTCAAAATGCACACACGTATGTACACACATACATATTTTTGTAGTTACTTCTTGTGAGGAGTGTCCACAGGCAGGGTCCAGTACTCTACATTTTATGATTCATATTCTTTCATATACTCCATCTCAGTGACAGAGACAAGTCCAGGTGGCCAGCAGGCATGATTATGAAAGCATTTCTGTTCCAGAATTCTTACATTAGCATGCCAGCAATTCAGAAGCTACTTATATGGAAATAATCATGATATTGAAGTAGTTCTATGGAAGGAATGAAAGATACTGTATAACATGGAGTTGTGTGCTCCAGAAGCAAAAGCATACTGCTAATCTGTCCTTCTGGTAAAGTTTGAGGTCCTCAATATTTGTTTCCATAGGGAGATTATTACATTTAGACATTGCATCTAAAGAGAAATTAAGGGAATATAGAGCACACAATTAGCATGCACAAGGCCCCAGCATTTGGGTAGGGGGCAGTGGATAAAGGAAATAATAAAGAAAAGGCAAGTTTGTCCACTAGAGGGCATGCTTGCTCCCTGTACACTCAGTTACTTTAGTAATTTCTTTGCAAAAGAGTGATGATTGTTTTGAACTCAAGAGTTATGAAATATTCTTGTTAAACCAACCCTCCTTATCCTCATTTGAACATAATATAAATCGTGCTTTTCTAAAATGAGACAAGAATAATCTTAGCAGAAAGAGAGGTGGTTAATAAGGACACTGAGTTTGTTTTACACTCTTAAAAGTTGTGATTATTTCCACATAGTTTGTGTCACTTTACCCTCTTAAAAATAGGATTATTCTATTTTTTAAAATGTCTGTCACTTTCTTCAGATATGAGAAAAAGGAGGCAGTGGAGAATAATTGAAGCAAAGTTAGGGATAAAGTAAGATTCTTGGAGGAATGTATCAGGATTAGAGCCTAGAGCTCAGATGGACTTGACTTACTACTTTTTTTTTTTTAACTAAGACTACATATATATATAAAATAGTCATTAGTTTTAAATCCATGAGTTCTACTTACACTTTCCTCTATTAAAATATTATTTAAAAAATAAAACTAATACATACACAAGAGAATTTATATCTTAAAAACATTAAATAAAAACAAAAACCCTCCTGTTTTGTTGACCTACAACTTTTATATATAGTTTTATATAGTCAAAGATGAAGATTATAGCAAGTCATACCTAGCATTATAAAACTTAAGTAACTCAGCATGACTTCAGCCTTTGAAAAATATGAAGAGCTCTTGTCTTGATTTTTCCCAAGCTTTGAACAGTTATTTTTTAAGAAGGTCTCCTTATACAAGGTCTTTGCTTTATCGCTTTAAAAACATTAAAACAACTCTTCTTATAGTTGCAGAAATCATTGGCATTATTTGTTCATTCATTTGTTTAAATCTTTCTACATCAAAAAATGAGCAGGATTCAGACTAGGTTAATTTTCTCTACAAAAAAATACTTCCTATATGTAATGGTTAATACACTGTGTCAACTTCAGAAGTCTAGAGGCTTAACTAAGTAACTCAGTAGTGCTACATTCGAGGGTGTAGAGGACATGCCCTTACCACTCTGTGATGTTGTTCATTGTGTCAACTTGAGAAATTTAGAAGTTTAACTAAGTGACTCAGCAGGGGGCCAGGGTCCTCACTTTGTAAACATCCTCCTGAGCCTGTGCAAGAGGAGGGCAGGGAGATGATGTGAGTGCTCCACCTGCCCCAGAGAGGTAGCCTGCTTACACTATAAGGGAGGAAAACAGGCTTGTTCCCCCCCAACACATTTTTTTGCTTTTGTTGCTTTTGCTGTCTTCCACTGCAATGAACTATTTCCCCTCTGCCATGCCACCCTGCTTTGAAACCAGCTGTGTGAAGGAAACCTCCTTAAACTGTGAACTTAATAAATCTTTCTTCCTTTAACTTTGGGTGTTGAGTATTTTGTCTCAGCCAAGAGAGAAAAGTAACTAAAACACTAGATATTAAAAAAATATTTGGATAAGTATCTTAAACAGTTTTATTTATTATTATTTTTTAGTTTTATGAGACAAGGTCTCACTATTAGTTCAGTCTGGCCTTGAACATAAGGCGATCCTCCTATCTCAACCTTCTGAGTACTGGGATCACTATAATCACCAACTTGTCTTTAGAGCTCTAGAACTTACACATATTGTATAACTGAAACTCCTTTGTACCTTGTGTTCTTGAAAATTGCTAAGAGGGTAAATCTTAAGTGTTTTTGTCATATGCACAAAAAAAGTGGTTAACTATGAGATGACAGATACGTTGACTAGCTTGGTGTCATTTGTTGATCATATCAGGGTGTATGTATATCAGACATGTAGAAGGTAAATATCAAGTGGTTTACCTTAAATATATATAATTTTAAAAGCTGCAATTTTCCCCAAAAACAAATTGTCCAGCTTTTTGGTTGAATTTCAATTATGATATTCTATTAAAGTATTGAACATAGTTTTACTCTTTTGCAGCTTTATGGAGTATAATTAACAAATGAGATCATATATTTAAGGTGTATAACATGTTTCAAGACAGATATACATACATTGTGAACTAATTAACATATCTGTCATCTTACAGATTTATAGCAATTCTTAATTTCATCCTCTTGGCAACATTGTATAATATCACAGTCAAAATACTCTTTTGTGGGGCTGGGGATTTAGCTCAGCGGCAAAAGCGCCTGCCTGGCAAGCGCAAGGTCGTGAGTTCGGTTCCCAGTACCAGAGAAAAACCAAAAAAAAAAAAAAAAAGAAACTCTATTGTATCTTTTTCCAAATACACTTAGTGCTAAAGTTTCCTTTTTTGTTCCACTATCTTCAAGTCTTTTGTACTGATAAATAGACTAAATATGGT